TCTTTCTCTCTCTCTCTCTCTCTCTTTCTCCTTCCCCCCATCCTCTTTCTTTCTGTTCTCTTCTCTTTTCTCGCTCTCTCACTCTCTCGCTCTCTCGCTTTATGTTTTTCCTCCCCCTCCCTGTTTCTTCTGTTTTCTTATTCTCTCTACTTTTCCACCTATGTTTCTCTGACACTCACGCTCTCACATACATACTTTCACAGGCACACCCTCTTACACTCTTATACTTGTGCATTTGGGTTTGTGGGTGCGAGTATGCGTGTGTGTATGAGTGTGTATAATGAGTGTGTGCGAGTTTGTGTGGCTGTTTACATGTACATTTCGCGTACCTATATGTGAGTACAAATGTATATAAGTGAAAGTCGGAGTGGGGATATACCGCATAATCTGAATACCGGGTAGCCTACCTATAAATATAATATTAGGACCAGCGCACTGTCAGTGTTTTTTTTTTCCATGTTAGTCACCACATAATGTTCGGTTGTATTGATGTGGTTGTTGACTTCAGGTTTATCTAGATTGTTTGGAATATCGAAGCTGAATAATGTCTTCGGCAGCAAGGTCTTTAACACTGTCATGTTGAAACGTCAATGTAGGGACATCAATGAATCCATCTTTTGGTTGTATTTCAGAGACTTTTCATCCTTCGACAACAACTCCAAGACCTGTTGTACCAGGTAAAGAAACATGAAGCTTTACACATGTAGCTGTTTCTTGTGAAAATACAAATGATTTATTGAGCTAAATATATGTGCCTATTATGATACAAAGTTTTTATGAGTAGCCTTTGTCAACGACATACATTGTAAAGAAAACGGGTTGTTATCTTCTAATTTTGTTATAACTTTATAAAATAATTATACAGTGGAAACTTTCTGGACGAGCATACAGCAGGGGACGTTAGAGGAAGATTCCTTTTCTTGCAATTTCAATGTACCATAATGCCCCCCCCCCCGCCGCCCCCCTCTCTCTACCGGACACTGTTTTAAAAAAACAACAACCCAAAAACCCCCACGAGCAATGAGTACGTTGCACTTCGGTTGTAATTTTTCTGTGTCATGATTTTTAAGATTTGATCCTAGATCGTTAGTGATCGTTTGTTGGTTTAAAACGATGACACAGAGCTTACAATTTACTTAGAATGAAGGAAAATTGCAATGGTTCCTCTTTGTTTGAAAGGTAGAACTCAAAAAGATAAGAAAGAGATTGCAATGCCAGCTTTTCGTGCAACCAGAGGACGTCCTTCTCATTTCCAATTGCTCTCGTCGGTCATCTCACTATTTTGCCACCCCCACCCCCACCCCAACCCCTAACCACATCCTCTAAATTTACATAAAGGCCTGAACATCTAGATCTTACTTGAAAAAAAAAAAGTAGCCACCAAGTCTATGGAGCCCACTGATTATTTAATGTGTTATTGTATCATTCCTTATTTTATTGTTTCTGCAATTTATATGCAAATGTTTATGAAAAGCAACGCACACTCAAATCTTTATACATGTATTACTATTACCGTACCGTACTCCCATCCCCAGCGGTCTCAGTTTCAAGCGAAGCAATGTGCGCTGCTTGGGGCCGAAACCATTACAGAACGTTTGACAACAAGGTTTACAGTTTCGATGTGAGTCCTGTTTCAAAGTTG